GTGCCGACCGTTTCACGAGCCCTTTTGATAAAGAATTTCACAATACAACCATCAACAGTACAATAAGAGCAGAGAGTAAATAGACAAATTTATTCCAGAAAATTACCTAAAAAAAAAGACCTAAAATAAAAAAAACACAAATAAGTAAAAATATTAAATATTCATGAAAATGTACCTCTAAAAATACAATAAACTCCCATTTATCTTAAAATAAATTTACAATTATTTATTCTCACATAAAATATTAATATAATGAAAGAGGTCACTGTAGGTCGCATCAGTTACTGTAAATGACATGAACATTTCTCATATCGTCATTAGAAAGCACTGATTTGTCATTTGAACATGTTTTGTAAGTCAAAACTGGGATTAAAAAAACGTTATTTCTTCACATCATAAAAGTTAGACTTTAACATATTACCTGGAAGTCTTTAATAGTTTTCAAGTGGCACCTGGTCAGCCATATTGCCCACTGTACACAGAAAAGTTTCAGTACATGGTGATGAAAAGCTGTTTTTGCTACTGATGTGAGAACTGTTCTCCAAAGCACACGAGTGTCTGAAGCATCAAGATCATCTCCCGTCATTTGCAGAACTGTGAGGAACAAAAAATGATGGTTTTGTTTCTGTACCACTTGCATCAATAACAACAGTTGTTTTTGTATTGAACGTTTTTTGGATCAATAACAAAATTTCAGGCTGAAGCCCACCTCTCTCTATGGCTTGTTTGAGGAGTAGCTCAGCCTCCACAAATTGAGACTGAGCAGTAAAACACACAGAGGCATTATACACCACTGAAAGCTCTAACTCTGCATGATCTGCATCAGGAGGGATACCTGAAGGGAAAAAAAGACAAAGAAGAACATGAGAAAAAAATGTAAAGTGTAAAAACTGTATGAAGGTGATTGAGCACCTTGAATTTGTCTTAAAAGTTTGTGAAACTCAGAGGAAGACTGTTTCAGGTTGGTGTGGTTGTGGTCTGAGCTGACGGCATCTCGTCCTTCAGGCAGCTGAAATTATTTTAAAAAACAACAAAGTGTAAAATATGGATGTATCAGAGAAACTTGGAGCATTTACAGGAAATTCTGTCATACTCCACTGTAATTTAAAGGGAAATGGGCACCATTTATTCAGTTTATTTCCAATTTTATTATTTTTTTTGTCCAATGCCTGATCATTTTCAGACGTATGTTTAAGTTTGTTCAAATTACACTTAAGACCTTCAAAAAGTCTCAAAATCCACTGGTCTGCTTTAAAGATGACGTGATTTGTGGGTTTGAACCAGCACCCTCTCACCCAGGCTTATAGAGGGCTGACGGAGAGTATCCTAACAGCAGGCATCAACTGTCTGGTAGCAGAAAGGAAGGCACTGGAAAGACAGTGTAGGATGACAGGGCCAAAACTTCCTTCCATGAACTATGTATGTAGAGCGCTGTCGAGAAAGAGCAGCTGGAATCATCAAGGACTCACTCCATCCAGCTCACTCTCTTATGAGACACAAAAAAGTTTGTATAACCTGACACAGTAGTAGCGGATAGCATCATCACCCATAACACAAGGTTTATTAATGGGTTTTTTTTCCCTGCCTGTCAAACTGATGGCAAAACCAAACCACTGAATCAGGTGCAATAATAACCCTACACTACCTAACGTCACTTGCATTGTAACATGGGAAGGTGAAAATATTACCTACTTTCTGTACAGTGTAGATATAAACCACTTTATTCTTATTTTCATTTTGTTTATTTGGTGTTTCAGTGTCTTTGTATGAATGTATGGCTACTTCGAAAGATATTGCTGGGAAATTTGGGGTGATTTAAAACGTCTGAACAATAGTCAAAACTTTAGCATCTAAACTGTGAAATTTACATTAAAAAGGTCTTAGCAGCTTCCGTTAGCCAGCACTAGTCTAGCTAATGTATGGTTTAACTTAAAATGCTAATAAAAAATAAGGTGTTTAAACTAAAGTGACGCGCTGAACAAATAACTGGCTGTTATTACTTACCGTAAAATGATTTGCCAAGTCATTGTTTCCCTGTATCCACTTATCTAATAAAGACAACATTTCATCAGACACACAACATTGCTGTCGCTTGTTTTGACTTTCCCTCGTAGAGAGCTAACAGGAAGTAGAACCTCCCCGTGCGTATCTAAGCTGGGCTCTGCTGCCCCCTGTGGACATACATGTGAACTACAGGCGCAGTTTTCCAACTGACCAGCAGAGAGTAATGTGAGGAAGCTCTGCTCTTCTGGAAACTTCAAGCACTAGATTTTAAAACAAGCTGTTTAAAGACACCTTTTGTTTAAGGCTAACTCTCTAAAAACAAAAACACTAACTAGCTCAATAAAATCTGTTTAATTTAATATGAGTTCCAAACGGACACACAAATACACAAGTTCAGGTATAAACAGGTAAACAATTCTGCTCCTTAATTGTATTTCAGCTGAGTCATCTTTGAGACTGCTAGTGCAGCCATTTTTCTTTGGCTTTACCAAGGTTACCCAACCTTTCTTATTTCCCCCATTCCACTCTCCTTGCACACACTCTTTGTTGTCATCCCTCATCAACACATCATCCTGTTTTCTTGTATCCATCTGTTTACCTTCACGCAGTCTCCCAGCTCTCCTTTTCTTTCATTGCCTCAAGTCGTTGTGTGGTATGTCACTTTGGAATAAACAAATTACATTAGCAAACACTTTCTGGATCTATAGCTAACTTCTCCTGAAGCATAGCCTTTTCCTGTGCTTGGATTATTATTATTTTTTGTTTCCCATCTTTATCTCACCCACTGCCACTCAAGCGCCACTTAAGGACAAGTATAAAGAAAATGTCTCCTTCCTCTTCTTCTTTTTCATTTTATTGCCAAAAATTTAAGGCCAGGCATGCTCCACTCTGTCTTGTGTTTTAAGCTTATTTAGCCCGCCTGATTCTCAGATCTTTGTTTGAAGAAAGAATGCAGGTGTAGAGGAACACTGGACATGGGAACAGGATCTCATCTAAATTCATTTGATTCATTCAGTTAATATAGTAATCCAAAATAGAACATGAACAACAATATTAAAATGCTCTCACACACACACATAAAAAATAATTTGGGTATTTACTAAAACAATAATTAACAAGTTAAACAATAAATTATCAGTCAAGGATTAATTATTATTTATCTAAGACAAAAGTAATGATATGGGCAGGGATTATTTTGATTTTATAATAATAAACAAATAAAGTGTGATGTGTTGTCATCATTGTATGTTCCCATACAAAGACGAAATTGGTTCTCTGCATTTAACCCATCGCACCTGGGATGCACACAGGTGGAGCAGTGGGTAGCTATAGGTGCCCAGAGAGCAATTCGGGATTGGGTGTCCTGCTCAGAGACACCACGAGATGTGCAATGACCGGGGATTGGACCCAGGACCTTCAGGTCCCAAGTCAGCTGCCCTGCCCCTGCCTACAAAGTATATACACACAATAATTTAAATAAAGTTTAACTATTTGATAAATAGTTCTGGAATTTGGTTGAGAGATGTGATTTAATTGGATCAGATGAAGTTATTTATTAGCACGGCAAGCAAAGAAATGATTATCGAGTTGCATCAGCTAAACCAGACGCAGTATTGCAATGATGTCATCACCAGATTCCTGGCTCCTTACTGGATCGAGTCAGAAGGTGCAACCGACTATTGCTTCATCTTTGCAACACTTTGGAGGCCGACTGGGCCTCCAACTAGGAAACAGGTTAATGCTCATCGAGCCGACATTCATCCTGGTGATCGAGTCAAAACTTTGTGATCAGCAAGTTTTGATCATGTCTGACGTACAAGAGTTTCCTCTGCCCAGACTTTACACAGAGTGGCGTCTCTAAAAGTTGATTTCTTTCTGAGAACAAAATAAAGAAAATATGTTAAAACATAAATTTCAAAACAATAATTGCCAATAATATCAACATAAACATATCATAATCAAATAAAACAATCTTAATTTTATGAATACAACTTATTTGTTTTTAGCAAAAGCTTTAAAGAAACGTGTAAGCGTTTGCCAAACTGTGAGTGTGTGAATGTGCAGAAACATCAGACATTGTTCAGGTCCAAAGTAACTTTAAAGAAACCAGTTCAGAGTGGTTCTGAGAGACGACCTCAGGTCCAGAGGTCATGGTCAGGAGAGCACCTCCTCGTGAGATTTTAATCCATTTTATGGAGAACATTTTGGTAAATAAAGTTCATATTTCAAAAAAGAACGAAAAGCACAAATTCTGAAAGTCATGGCACAGTTTGGAGCAACAAACAGTTTAATTGGCCCACAAAAAACAGTTTGATTAAAAAAAAGCACAATAATAATAATAATGACAATAATAGTAATAGAGAAATGTAATCACTGTATGAATGCTGAGTCAACAGTCACACAATTAGAAGACACACAGTCCATAATGTTCTTGTGTAAAGCCAACACTGTGCTGATTTGTCCATCCTTCGGCAGGGATCAGGGTGCAGGACTCTGTAAACTCACTCACCCTGAGGGATCAATAGGTGCTGTCCGTGCTCTTCTTCAGAGCAGATGTACATCAGCAGACACAGGTCAGGTTTTTGGTGTTAACATCATTTTAGTGTTAGCATCATATATGCACGGTGGACTCTGATGCTCTGTGAAGTTGTTAAGTGATTAGCCCACACATGCAAATAGACACATGTGTCTATTTGGCCAACAGAAATGCAAAAAGAACAAAAGATTATCACTTACATTTTGGGGGTAAAACGAAAAAAAAAAGGTGATTGTTTCAGCGGCCTGTGTGGAAAGATGTGGAGCTGTCATTGCTTTAGCAGCTGAGATGGACCCCATGATCTGCAAACTCACTGCAGCAGAGAACCATCAGCAGAAACACACCCAACACCCAGGACCAGTTCAATGCATGCAGCATGAGCCAAATAAACCTGAGCATCATCTGAGAGGGAAAAAAAAGAAAGTTTAAATGTGAAATACTTGACCAGGTTAAAAAACATATACAACTTCAGTCTTCACAGAAGATGATAGACATACAGGCATGTTTTAATGTTTAAAGGCTGTTTGTTGAGCACGTGCAGGTGATGTTTGTTGTTTCAGCATCATCATGGGGTTCAAACAGAACTCAGATTCCTGCGCAGGCATCAGTTTCCTGAAGAAAAGGTGTCTCTTTAAACCCCCAGCCGGTGCTGATGCTGACTTCAGGGTTTCCCTCCCTCCTATATAAACCCGGCGCTGTGCCTCTTGCTGCAGTCACTCCTCTCCCCCCACTCCTCCGGTCAACATGAGTTTCACGCTGGACCACCACTTCATGGGCCCGGGCTCGTACCGCAAGGCTCGACCCACCTCCGTGTCCTCCAGCGGCTTCCACTCCCAGCGCCGCCGCCTCGCCTACAGCCAGCCGTCCTCCGCCGACAGCTTGGAGACCTTCAACGGGGATGCGATGTCGCGGAGGAGCGAGAAGGAGGTGCTGCAGGCTCTCAACGACCGCTTCGCCGGCTACATCGACAAGGTGCGCAACTTGGAGATGCACAACTGCAACCTGGAGGCCGAGGCGGCGGCGCTGCGGCAGAGCCAGGCGGGGCGCGTCTCCATCGGGGAGCACTACGAGCGCGAGCTGGGCGACCTGAGGGCGCTCCTGCAGGAGCTGACCGGGGAGAAGACCCGCTCCACGCTGGAGCGCGAGCACCTGGAGGAGGACGTCCAGCAGCTGCGCGTCCGGCTGGAGGACGAGGCGCGCGGCCGGCAGGAGCTGGAGGCTGCCGCGCGCGCCATGAAGAAGTACGAGGAGGAGTGCCGCCTCGCGCGTCTGGAGCTGGACAAGAAGCTGCGAGCTCTGGAGGAGGAGGCCGCCTTCCTTAGGAAGAACCACGAGGAGGAGGTGGCCGAGCTGCTGGCGCAGATCCACGGCGCGCAGGTGAGCTTCGACTTGAGGGACACAATGAAGGCGGACGTGACCGGCGCGCTGCGGGAGATCCGCGCGCAGCTGGACGGCCACGCGTCAAAGAGCGCCACGCACGCCGAGGAATGGTTCAAAGGTGAGCAGAAAGTTCTCGGAGGCTGTGTCTTATGGAAAACATACACAAGTGAACCTGAAGGACACAAATCCTGAAGGTGATGTAAACTTAACCAGAGTGACCTGCAGCTAAAGAGAAAGTTTATTAAACAGCCTGTAGTTTGCTGCAGGGATCATCTTTGAGGCTCACATGGCAACCAGTTTAACCTGCACTCTGGGGCTGATTCTCACGCACATTGTGCTGATGGATTTTACCCCAAGCCTCAAAGAGAACAAGGGCACTGTGGATGTCAGACAAGATAAAGCATTTGGTTTCCTGCCTTAACATCCATCTTCTCCTGGTGTAGCTACTTGTGGATATGATGGATTGTCTTACCGCCTCTTGCTGAGACACCAGCAGTGCTGCTGACCTTTATGAACACTTAGTTAAACACTTGGGAGCATTGATGGTTTCATGTAGCTGGTTTATCACACTCCTGCAGTGTTGAAGTGAACGAGCTGAACGACCTCTGTCTGGCTGACTGCAGCAGCAGCTCAATCACGACTGGACGAGGGAGGAAGCTGAGTCAGACTGACTGACAGCTGGACAGTGTCAAGGTTACTCAGACTCCCAGGGGTGGCTGTCTGCTCTCTCTGAGTCGACAAAGTCCAATACGTGTGCATAACTCCTGCAAGCTCTTTACTCAGTGAAGGTGACGCAGCAAATGTGAAGTTGAAATGACGTGTTTGAAAAATGCATTTCTCTGCAGTGCGTATGGAGCGCCTGTCTGAAGCTGCTAAGTGTAACCAGGATGCGATCCGTGGGAACCAGGAGGAGATTGCAGAATACCGCCGTCAGCTCCAGAGCCGCACCATCGAGCTGGAGACCCTTCGAGGAACCAAGGACTCACTGGAGAGGCAGCGGATTGACAGTGAAGACCGACACCAGGACGACCTCAACTCACTACAGGCAGGACATTGATGTAGACATTAAGCAGACGCACAATTTCTCTTAGCGTTACTTCACGCCATGTTTTGTGTCCTCATTTTGCAGGAGACCATCAACCAGCTTGAAAATGAGCTGAAGACCACCAAATGGGAGATGGCGAGTCAGCTGAGAGACTATCAGGAGCTGCTGAATGTGAAGATGGCTTTGGATATCGAGATCGCCGCGTATAGGTTGGTCCAAAATCAAAAAAGAAGTCAAACTCTTCATTTCTTTTTATTAAGCAAAACTTTGATAAATTCCTCTGGCTGTCTGAAACAGGAAGTTACTGGAGGGAGAGGAGAATCGTTTGGTGTCTGGTGGATCACCATACTCATACTTGGAGGCAAGATTTTCAGGCCATGTGAAGGTGAAAGGTGAGGAGATCTCAGATACAGTCATCGTGGAGGAACAGACTGATGAGACCCAGGTGACGGAGGTGACAGAAGAGGCTGACGAGGAGGAGGAAGAGGAAGAAGAAAAGAAAGAAGATGAAGAAGAAGGAGCAGAGGAAGAAAAGGAAGGTGAAGAAACCAAAGAAGAGGGAGAGGGTGAGGAAGAAGAGGAGAAAGATGAGGAAGAAAAGGGAGAGGAAGAAAAAGGTGAATCCCCTCCTCCCAAATCTCCTGCTGCTAAATCACCAGAACCCAAATCCCCGGCCAAGTCTCCCACAGGAGACCAGGCAAAGTCCCCTGAACCTAAATCTCTTGCTGTTAAATCACCAGAGCCAAAATCTCCAGAACCCAAATCACCAGCAACCAAATCCCCAATGCCCAAATCTCCCACAGGAGATCAAGCAAAGTCTCCTGAACCCAAATCTCCTGCTGCGAAATCACCAGAGCCAAAATCCCCACAAAAATCTCCAGAACCCAAATCACCAGCAACCAAATCCCCGGCCAAGTCTCCCACTGGAGACGAGGCAAAGTCCCCTGAACCCAAATCTGCAGAAAAAGAGAAAGCTGGGCCTCCTGCTGCCAAAGACACCCCCAAAGAGGAGAAGGAGAAGCCTCAGCCAGTCCAAGAGGACAAAGAGAAGGAGCAGCCTGTGAGTGACAACAAGAAGCAGGAACCCAAAGAGAAGGAGCCAGAGAAGGTGGACAAGCCTGACTCAAAGAAAGACAGTAAAGCAGACGAGACACCCAAAAAGGAAGAAGCTCCAAAACCTGCAACTCCCAGCAAACCGTCTGAAGACAAGCCCGCTCCCAAGACCGAGCTCAAAGAGAGCGCTGCTCCTGCTAAGGAGGAGAAGGCTTCCACCCCCAAACCACCAGAGAAGCCCGAGGCCAAGGTGGCTCCTAAAGCGGAGCCCGAAAAACCCGAGAGCAAGAAGGAGGAGAAGAAGCCTGAGGAGAAGAAGCCTGAGGAGAAGAAGCCTGAGGAGAAGAAGCCTGAGGAGAAGGCCGCTGCACCTAAAGCAGAGCCAGAGAAGCCAGAGAGCAAAAAAGAGGAGAAGAAGCCCGAGGAGAAGGAGACAAGTAAAGACGTGAAGGAGGGAGCAAAAACGGAGAAAGCTGAAAAATCTTCCAGCACCGAGGCGAAGGAGAGCAAGGAGGAGAAGGCCAAGAAGTAAGACCGAGGTGAACTGGAAGAAAAGGAGATGCCAAAGAACTTTGAGGGAGGGAGGTCAAAGACATGGGGAGGGTGGAGACGAGGAGAAAGGAGCTGGACGTACCCAGCTGTCCACACAACTTCATGTCCAAAGCAAAGCAGGTTAATAGTATGTAAGCAATATTGATCTCTGTAGCAAATAACCCCCACGCTCCCCAGTATGGCCATCACCCCCCACCTCCTGAAGCTTCTGATGTTTGACTGTAGTGAATGCTCTAAACTATCTGAATGTGACAGCTGCCCGTAATAACAAGTGCATTTAAACTGAATCTTGAAAGGGACGGCAGGATCCCGCTGCACCCGCACGACAGCCTTCAAAGGTCGAGACGATGTCGAGCTACAAGACGTCGAATATGAAACGAAAATTTATTGAAACACAAATGTCTCTAGTATATTTACAGATGAACCAGTTGGTCGTTGTGCACCTTAATGCAGCTTCTCCTGAAAGGTGAACTGTGGCATCTCACTATTTCACTGCAACGCTAGGACAATGTTGACTGTGCTATGTATAAACTGCTGAGAATATGCAATATGAAACAGTAAAAATAAAAAGTATTTAAAAAAAATTAACCCTAAAGCTGTGTTTTCTTAACATGTTGCATGAAGCACGTCAACCTTTAGGGCCGACGTACGAAGAGACTCCTGCAAGGCGTGGGAGCAAAGAGGTAAATGCTGCGAGTTACTGCACTGCATTGCGGCTACAGTGGGGGAGTTGTGCCTCCTACCCCCCCCCCCCCCTATCCATATATAAATCAGGAGTGGTGTTTTCCTGCGTGCACAGAACAGGCTCGGATCAACTAGCAGCAGCAAAATCAAGTTAAACCTAAAATATGCAGACAGAATACTAAAATTAAACAGTGAAACCCTGGTGGTTTCTTTGCCAGTTTATTTAATTTTTTATTGTTTGACAACAAACGTTACTTTTATAAGAGGCTGATGATCATTTCTGTGTGTTAATTTAACGAACATCTTAAAACACCACAAATGTGCAGCAGGATTATGTTTCTTTTTATTGCTCAACAGCTCCAATTAGAAAAATAAACACCCAAATCAGTTTGCTCCACTGCCACACCATGACAACCCTCACTTTGGTCCAGGATGTTCAGTCTTGACGCTCTCCAACTCGACTGGGATCTAATTGGCCAAAGCTGCAGAGAACAAAAATCCAAAATAATCTACTTAAAATATTTTCTCCTCCTTCTGTAGTTTTCCTTTGCTCTGTCTCCAGTCCTGTTTCTTCTGCACGCTGCACACACTAAAAATAGACCACTGATGGCACTGAACCCTCATAGTCATGAAGGTTTAACCCACCACCTCCTTCAGCTTTGTTCCTTCTACTCAAACGACCTGCTGTTAAAATACACAAAAACCACCAGTCAGGGGCTACATTTTCTAAAACATGCCAACGATGCAGAAACAAGATGCAGCAGTTAGAATCCTTAATATACAATAGGCTGATATAGTTTGCCCAGTGATGCCAAAGAAGAATTGCCTTCCTCAGCTTTATTAGAAGCAGCGACTGCAGTGTAACACTTGACTTTACTGCTGCTGCTTCCAGTTGGAAGTTTATTTTCCTTACAATCTGTTATAAGAGAAACTTTAAAAACTCACGGAGCTAATCACCCCTGTTCAAATTAACAAGATTTGTGACCACTCTCAATGCTGAACCACGTAAAGCATTTAAGTCTGGCATTGTTTTATTAAGCAGAAATCTTGCTGAAATTGGGCCTGCTGAACAGTTTTATCTGCAAATATAAATAATCCGACTCACTTATGAAATGATCATCTTCACCAGAGGGCTTGCTAATTATAACAGCCCTCTCTTTTTGTAATTACATAAAATATTAAACTGAGCATTTTAAATCCTGCTGGACTTGTGCTGCAGTGACACTTCCACTAAATCCGTTCCTGATGGAAAATAATGACATTAACACCTCAGTATGTTGCTATGGAGACCATGATGATGCAAAATGAGAGGTCGAAGTTCAACTGCACACAATGCGCAAAACATTTTACTTCTCAGGCAGGACTCGCTGTGGACATGACTCATCTCACTCCTGCACTGAAGCACAGGAATACTGAGCAGCTACAAAAACCTAAAAATAGAGCAGCCCAGGAAGAGGTTAGGGAGGGCAGAAAAATGAACAAATAAATAAATATGACGTGCACAACAGCATCTGGCTCATAAATAACACACATTGTTTCAAGAAAAATGTAAAGGTGTTTTTATTTTCAAATTTTTTAAAATGATACTTTGTGTATCAAAAAGTCAAAAAGACTGAAAAGGACAAGTATGAGCAGAGGTTTAACGGTGACTGAAGAAACCCTGAGGGTGGTTGAACTTAAATGGCTTCAGACGATTTGGACCCCTAAATGAAAACAGAATAAAAATTAGAAATATATCTATTTAGTGTGCTTTGTTGTTTGTAAAACAAAACATTTAAAAAAGGGTAAATTCTTACATCAACTACATACCTGACAGTGCGCAGGCACATTTTTTCACGAGGGAACTCGCGAGGTCCTTCCACGCTGTCATCTTGCTCTTCTGTTTCCAAATATACGTCCAGGCAGACGCACAGGCGAGCGATCTGATTGGTCAGAAGCTGGTGCCCTGGCCGCGGGCCTTGAAGTTCATTTTTGAACACATTCACTTCGCTCTCCATGGCCTGAAAGAAGAAGGGAAACTATGTAAGGGCAGCGTGTACTGGTAATCATGTAAGAGACGAGACTAGGAAAGCAAAAGTGCAAACACAACGGGGACATTATTGATTGAAATCATTTTCCTACACGCAGGTTGTCGTCAGTGCGTCCACTGCACTCTCCCTTCCAGTTCAGTGACAGAGAAAACAGAGGAGAGACCTCTGGGTAACGGGGACTCAGAACCACTGCAGCATGGAGACGAGCTGAAAGAAATAAAAGGTGTGATGTTAAATAAAAGCAACAGAAAATTAAAAAAAGAGTTCATTATCTGAGGTTGATTTACCTGTGCCTCTTTCTATGATTCCCATAAAATACAGGTCTGTCTCCTTGGCCAGTCCAGCATCAGTTACGTGACGGGTATAAGGCAGCTCCTTTAAAACGAGAGAAATTATTTAAAAAGTAAAAAAACAAAGATATACCATAATTCCCGGTGTATAAGCCACTACTTTTTTCTCACACTTTGTACCCCGTGTTTTATATGCAGGAGAGGCTAATTTATGTCCCCCCCCCCCATAATTATCACAATTTATATTTTTATGTTTTATTTGAAAGACTTCCTGTCGTCTTTTGGCAGCTTCCTGCCGCTGACTAACATTTTCCTTTGACGGAGCTGGGCTGCTGCTCACAGAGCTGCCCTGCACCCACCCCTCTTGAGGGCAGGCTTTTGTTGCACATAATGAATGCCCTCAGGTAATCACATGTACAACGACTCTTGCGCAGGGTTTCAAATTCCTTACCATAACTCCACCCACTCCGTCATCATGTAACCAGAAGTCTAACCTGAATGACCAATGAGGACCATCCAGGACCATCCCACAAGATAGTCATGCATTCATTTCTTCAGATCATTCCCGTATTTTACGTTTCATGCACAGACCTGTTCATTTGTTCAGCGATAATGGAAAACACACGTAGAAGTTCGTACGCTGCAGCTTTCAAGTTAAAAGCGATCGATCTCGCTGTTGAAGAAGGAAACACAGCTGCCGCCCGTAAGCTTTGCATAACGTGTCGATGGTCGGGCATTGGAGACGCAAAGCAGTCAAGTCTGGTACATGTTTTAATAGGTTTTAAAATTCTTTCTGTGTGACACGTTTCATTCTGTGTACAGTAAATATGCGTCCAAGGTCGCATTTTAAACTCTCATCCGAACGGAGACAACAGGAGGGGTTCTTCCCCCACACTTTCCATCATGAGAGCTCAGTGGAGAAGTCGTCAGATTTATTTTAGAGCAGTCAGTCAGTCAAGACTGATACATTTTAAAATAAAAGTTAAAACAAATATTTCTGTGTATGGTAAATATGAGTTTAAATACCAAAATCTCATTCAAGCTTAAACTGGCACATGAAATGCAGCGGAGACAACAAATGGGAGGGAGGAGAGGCTGTTCCCCCTTCCTCCCTCCTGCTCTTATGAGCTCTTTGCCGAGTAGAAATCACGTCATATTTAGAAAGTACATTTAAAAACAGCAGCTGTTATCAAAAATGTTAAACAATAAAAATCAATTGTGCTAATTTAATAAATATTTACCATATTTTATAGGTATATTTGACTTCCGGTCACATGACCTGGATAAGACTTTGGGTAATATTTACTGGTATATACTTTTTAAATAATTTCAGTTATGTAGGTGTTTGGCACCGTTCTGTCCAGTGATTATGCTTAGATAGTTATTGTGTTCATTTAGTAGGTTTAATGGTTTTAACCATGAGTCAGACAGTGAAGCATCATGAAGACTTCTGATGATTATGCAGTCTGAACGTGTGTTGAAAGCAAGCTGTATTCTGTGAAACACTACAACAAGAAAGCGGCTGGAGCTGGACATAGATCCAGGTGATGAACAGCTTAATAACCGGAATGTACAAAATTATAATTTAACGTATATTTAGTATGTGTGGCTTAGAGACAGGTGCGTTCTGTAGCCCGAGAATTACGGTATGTTTGACTGACTTTAAATGAAACATAGTTCACAGATAAGTATAACATGGATATACAAAATTAAGGTTTCCAAAAAACCTTTTTTGGATTTTTCTACCTGGATTATTGAGCATGCATCAGGATAAAATTATCCATCCATCCATCCATTTTCTTTACCCGCTTATTCCATTTCGGGTCACGGGGGTCGCCGGTGCCCATGTCCAGCAATCAGGATAAAATTAAAGTTTGTTAAATTATTTATTCAAGTTAGTTGAAAAATTGGACACAAAAAAGTTGCTAAATAAAAATAAAAAGGACAATTCACTAAAAGGGTATAATTATTTATTTTTGAATTAAGCAATTCTATTATTTCAATATATTCAACAGAACAAATGTTTTTTAAAGGACTGATTTAATTTTTCTGCTGTTGTCGATTCTCGCATTTAACTGGATTTGTTTACCAAATTGTTTATTACAAATTGAACGAGCTACTTTATCTTGCGTGAAGTTAGTTTATCCACGTGAATTTCCAGTTTGATTTGTTTTCCATCATTTAATGACTGACAAGTATTTCCTCACGCTG